TTTAGCATACAGTGCAACAGGATGTTAATTTTATCAAATGACCATTAGTTTTTATGTTAGATTTTCAAATTATTCCTTAGCCTTTTCAGAAAAAGCTTGATGCATTAGAAATACATTGTGACTTTTAGAACTCAAAGCATACTAAGTTCTTTTTTTATGTTTTACGATATCCATAACATATTACATTTCAGTTTGATCTTAGAGGTTTGTGTGGCACACTTTGATTTAAAGTTAATTTCACATGCAAATAATTTTTGGCACTCAAAGTCCACTGTCCTGCAGAGTTTAGCTCCATTTCTATCCAAACACAACTGAAAATCAAACCAAAGTCTTCAGGATTTACATTAAAATTACAGGCAGGTGTGTTTGATTAGGGATGGAGTGAAAAGCTGCAGGACAGTGGACCTCAAGGGCCAGAGTTCTCATCTCTGGACAATGCTGTAATATCTTAGGTTTTTGTAATATGTGAATATGTGTAATATGTGAATGCAGAATTAGTTTGATTAGGGATGGAGTGAAAAGCTGCAGGACAGTGGACCTCAAGGGCCAGAGTTCTCATCTCTGCACAATGCTGTAATATCTTAGGTTTTTGTAATATGTGAATATGTGTAATATGTGAATGCAGAATTTAAAAATTGAAGGAATCAGTGATCAATTTACAAATGTAAAAATACAATCACTTTACAAATAGACAAACTATTTTAAATATTAAATTGGAATTTAAGTAATAAAATATATATTTAATGCAACTTGCCGCTGCAAAATGTATAATTCATAACATGGAATCAACAAATAAACAATGACTGAACTGAACCACACCCTTATGATAAACTCCCAGCAAAAGTAAATGTTGGTAGTAAATATGTCTTCTAATTCCAAAATAAATAATCTAGTTTATTTTTTACGTTTTTATGCATTTAAGAATATATTGCCTGCTTTAACAGCTTAATCCCACTTTTTGTTAGTATCTTGTTGAACTCTAAACCATTGAACTCAAAGCCATTGCAACGTAATCCTACACCACTAAGCTTGTAACCTCTGTGTATCGACTGATGGTAGTAAACAAAGCTGACCTCTGAACAGTAATGACTAACCTCCATATTCTTATGAGCTGGATGCTTCCACACATGCCTAGAAAGAAGTTAACAGCAAACAGAGCCCAGTTTTTGGGGATGATCACCAAGCAGTACCTTGACCAAATTATTCCTAGAAAGAAACAAGAGAAAGTCGCAATTAACCAATACAGTGTTGAAATAAAATCCTCATTGCAGAATCAACTATTTTTGTGAGTAAAGTGGGTTAAGGCCTTAGTCTTAGTAAAATGACTCTTCGCAAAGACCCACCCCCCTTAGTTACAGTTGCTACGTCCAACAAGCCATGCCACTCTCACTCCACACATCATGTTCTCGCGCTGTGAAAAATACATTGTGGAGCAAAGATGACACTGACAACGCTCCGACAGACAAGACGGAGCAGGCTACTTTTGGTATGAAAAAAATTCTCAGCTTTCAAATATAAAGTGACGTGCCGTGTAGCTCTGCATTTATCCCATCCAAGTGCACACACACATCAGTGAGTAGTGAACACATACACACACCGTGAACACACACCTGGAGCAGTGGGCAGCCATTTTTGCTGCGGCGCCCAGGGAGCAGTTGGGGGTTACATTCACTCCCCCCACCTACAATCCCTTTGGGTTACAAGTCAGACTCTCTAACCATTAGTCCACGACTGCCCCTATATAAACATTGTCATTTTGTAAGAAATTCAAACAATAAATACAGTTTTGTGGCTCTTTAATGTGTCGTGACAGATCGCTCTAGCGCCTCAGTTCAAAAGGCACATGAACCTATCATCTCTTCCTCTTTACTATTTATAGCACGAAATAAACATGAATGAACATCAGAAGGTATCTTGTTTAAACCGCGGAAAGACGTCAATACACACCATTTTTTAAGTTCAAGTCCACTGACATTAATCGATTCTCCTGTCTGGTTTGTTTGTCGGACAAAATGGCAGATTCAGTGTTATGATTTGTCAGATCGCCTGTTAATCAAACTCCCTGCGAAGGATCAACTGAAACTTATATAGGTCAAACCTATCAAGACCATATGTGAACTGCTAAATGTAGTATGCAATGGTTAACAGTTATGCTGAGTGAAAAGATTACCAGTTTCAGAAATGCTCTTATTCAGAGTCAAAAAAGACAGAGAGAGAGAATATTTTCTTGAGTGTCAAATGGATCTACTGCTCAGATATTTAGTTTCCTGGGTTGGTTTAAAATTTTATTTTCAGCCACACTAATCTCAGGTTACTATGAGGCTTTAGATGAGATATTCTCATCTACAGGACACTGACAACAGCTACTGATGTAGATAAATCTTGACTAAACTACATCAGGCATCTCTTTGTTGCTCCATCTTGAATAAGTACCTGTGGCTGTAATGACGCAGGACTGAGAGACACTGAGCTTTTCTGGTGGCCGGGTCATATCAGAGAATCCAGCCACTACTAAACCCTGCAGGAGGAAAGAAAGAGCAAAACAAGAGTCAGCTTGCTCAAAGGCCTTGATCAGCAGGTAAATCCATGATATGATTGCATTCACCACAGCATTACAACATTTCAAATTGCAAGATACAGTATGTACTGCCAGTTTGCATAATGCTATGTTGGTTTTGCTTAAAGGGATAGTTCATCCAAAAATCATCATTGCCGTCATGACTTTTCAATCCTGTATGAGTTTCTGTCTTCAACAGAACACAAATAAATCGCATCATATGACCCCTTTAAGAATAGACTTTATAGAAGAAAAAAACTTGGAAACAGATATGATAGACCTTCAAATGTCATGCAGTATATGATAAGAAATAATCTTTAAGTCAGAGCAGGAGGTGTTGGAGTAGGCTAAGCAATGTTCAACATGTTTACACTGTAAATAAAAATTTGCCTTCAACAGCACATACTGTAGCACAAATGTTTCCATCAAGATCTTTGGAACAAACCAAAGTGGAAAACCAGGTATTGACGATGGAGATCTTTCAACAATATTAGTGACACAGACAGCTGCACATAAGACTAGCTGATTAAAATTGTCCAAAAATATTTACATAAAACATTAAAAATGTATGAATGTTATTGTATAGATGGAAAGATCCGCAAACAAATAATATTACCTAGAGCTTTTCTCAGAATTAACAACTTAGGTCCTATGGTGAGTTTAGTGGATGCATACAATTCATAGTCTTTCATATGTGTGCATATAATTTTTAACAGTAGCCTGTATATTACTTCAAACTTAAACTGTGAAAGGTTTGCATGAAAGGTGTGTCTGTGCTTTAGTTCTTTAAAATAAATTATGCATTTAATTTCTATTGCATTTAATCGTGCCTCAAGTGTCCAAATTCTTTTGGGGGGCACAGTATGGCTGAGAAAAATACCATAGAGATGATCTAGAAAAGAGAATTCAGATGCAACACATATGTAGGCCTAATTACATAAACGCTTCAACATAAGAATAACATATTGCAATATTTGAAAATGACCGACTGCTTGTGGGAGCAGAGTAATTTCTTTACCAGCAGGATGATTGTAGAGAGGTCTTAATTTAGGCGGCAGCATTAACTCGATCCTGTCCAAGGTTCGGTGATATGTCGCTCTCAAACCACCGGAATAAAAACGACATGATTGCAATCGTAAATAAAGTCTGCTGCTACTCATGTTCAATCACACTGCAGTGACCAAAACACGAAAACACCACCCTCCGAGACGACCTATCACAATGTCATCATCACCAAAAACACGTCTTGGTTGACAGCGATCCTACAGAAACACAAACAATGAGATAAACGTGAGACTGATCTTGAGAAATATTGCAAGAAACGAATGAATGAATGATTGAATAAATGACCAATCTCTCAGCCTACATCTATTCTAAAATGGGCTCGTTGGCTCTCTACAGGGAAAATGTGGTCATATGATCTATTAATAGGTAACAGCCTTTTTGAATATTAAAGTGCATGCACTGGCGCTCATCATAAAGTACTAACGTTTCCGTCCAGCAGATGTCACTATCGGCCCAAACGACGCCTGCAGAAAATCCCGGTTTGATTTGTGGTAGGTAACAAAACAGGGTGAGGATAAAATAAATTGGGAGAAACTGCTTTTCTTTTGTTCGTGTCTTTAAATAATCTATTGGTATGCAATTTCTCTCTCTCTCCATATTTAGCAACATTGCTAAGACGACTCGTTCTTCCCGAGTCACATGAAAGATTCGTTCAAAATGAACGAATCGTTCAAGAACGACCCAACACTAGTTTGTGGTAGGTAACAAGCGGGGTGAGGATAAAATAAATTGGGAGAAACTGCTTTTCTTTTGTTCAAGTCTTTAAATAATCTATTGGTATGCAATTTCTCTCTCTCTCCATATTTAGCAACATTGCTACTCCTTAGTTGACCATACTTGATTGATAATACAATTTTGACCCATTTGAATAAAACAAAACAAAATAGGGTGACCACGTCCTCTTTTTCTTTTACGGGAATTCTAAATAGCATAAAACGTCCGAGTTTTGGCCTTTTTTTTCTTTTTGTTTTCGTGTTTTCTATAATGATTGCAGGCATTGTACATAATCGACCAATCGTGGCGAGCGAGAAGGTGGGATCTACAGAACGGTCAAAGCAATACTGCACATATTTTAGGCAATTCAGAAATAAAAAATGACTTAATCAGACTATACTACATTGACACGCATTTTAGCAGTCAGTGACACTCACTGTGTGTTTACATAACTGATGCATTTACACTTGAGATAAAGTGAAACTACTATTATACTGTTTGCTATAATTCAAAACCATAATGTAGCCTATATTTTAGGCTATTGCATTACCCCAAATATAGAATGGGGGTGGATCACCTTTTTACCTAGCTTAGTGAATAGAAACAGAGCCCTACCATTATAATTTCGCACTTTGCTCACTGAATTCAATTGACAGCTCAGGATATGGGTAAATGGAAATGTTTTTTTTTTTTTGCATATTGCCTGGTACGAAGAACAATGTTTCTCTAGTGTATGACATCAAAAAACAACTAGATCAATAACCTATGTATGGTTAAAAAATTAACAATCCACGTTTGTGGATTGCTTGTGGTTGGTTGTTGTTTTTGTTTGGGTGTAGGCTAATACATTGGTATTTTCTGTTTCATTCCTTGAGAGAAGTTCCCCTTTAATATCAGTAAATAAACTGTAACAGTAACTTATGTACTTTTTTTAACACTTATGTAATTTCTTTAACTGTGGGGAAAACAACGCCAAAGTTGAATGGTAATCATTTCCTGAATCTTGATTGTAACCATAGGCTATATCTTTATTTTAACCTTTAAAATAAATAAAAATTAAGAAGGATAGATAGATAGGTGTTCACTATACACATGGTGTTACTAACGTGCAAATAATTACAAATTGTGCAACAACACATCAAATATGTGAGAGCATTAGCTGTGCGTCTTGGTGGAGGCACTGAACCTGAGAACACTGTTCACAGCTAACGCTTCTTTCAACACATATACTGGCTGCAAAAAAGTTTTTGGACACTTATGTTGCATTTCGTTGAATTATTTGTTTGCAGATATCACTTAGATAAGTTTGGGGTCGATAAGATTTTCTAATGTTTTTGAAAGATGTCTTATACTGACCAAAGGCTCCATTTATTTTATTTTTACGGTTAAAATAGTAATATTGTGAAATATTATTATAATTTAAAATTAAAGTAAATATAATTTATTCCTGTGATGGCAAAGATTAATTTTCAGCAGTTATTTCTCCGGTCTTTAGTGTTATTTTCAGGATTGATGAAAATGATGAATAGATACTATTTCAAAGGAGCAGCATTTATTTGAAATAAAAATAACATTATAAAAGTCTTTACTGTTACTTTTGATCAATGTAATGCATCCTTGCTGTATAAAAGTATTATATACTTTTATATAGTAATTGCTGTATAAAAGAAAAAAAAACCTTACTTACCTCAAACATTTGAATGATAGTGTATGTATAATTAAATTTGTATTCTTTTAACGTAATATTTAAGACATTTTACACAAACATATTATGGCAATTGTGATTGTTAGAATCTTATCATGCAAAAAATAATATAGTTATAATTGCATGTCTTGCATTTCTCCATTTTCACTGTTTATTTTCACAGAAAACTGAAGGAACAATTTACACCTTCATAACCTTCATTAAAATCAAAGTTTTCTTTGCAAAAACAAACCTGATCGCCCCAAACAAACACAGAACATTGTGGTGCCTGTTTTCAGTGCAATACTAACCATACTGTAAAAGTCTAAATACTTTTTGTGGCCACTGTAGCTTTGCTTTGCTGCAAAGAACTAAATCTTTGAATTCAAAAATCCTAATGAATATTCTATATTTGGAGAAAAAAAAAAAGAATGTGAACTTAGCATTGGTTAAAACGAAAAGTTATAGTCTTTTTAGTGTGTAAAATTCCCCCTGCTCTTCTAGTGTCACAGGAAAATTCCCCTAGATAATCTATCTATATATATATATATATATCTGTTTGTAGATTGAAACCAGACAAATTGAGACATGCTGCGTCTTCTGATCATTTTAAGTTTGCTTAGAGGAGGTCGGTAAATGGTAATTGACTCCTAAATCATATGGCTAAATCTGACACTTCTCTGGCTGGATGTTTCTAAACTGGATGGAGATGGTGGGAGGTTTATAACAACTTACATTTTTATTCCACAGCTTATCTTTCAGAAATTGTAGCACAGGGAGACACAGTTGTTGTGTTTGGTCAGGATGCTTCATTCTCCTGTACGCTGTCAGACGCGTCTAATGTCAAACAAGTCACATGGCAGCGGGTACGTGACCAGGAACCGGTACAAACTCTGGCTACATTCAGCGAGCTCTTCAAGGATCATGTGGATGATCAATATGTCGGAAAAGTCACTTTCACTGCGGCGTCGGTTAATTCAACATCCATTGAGATCAAAAACACAACATTTGAAGACGAGGCTTGCTATATTTGTTCCTTCAAAGTGTATCCACTCCAACCTAAACGACAAACCTTGTGCCTCGCCGTTAAAGGTAGGCTAAATACCTGCAACCATTTAAGTCACAAAGCTTATCTCTGAGGTTTTGAGTCAATTTGGGGCAGGCTGTCACATATGTTTTAAATGCCTAATTTTATACAGTGGTTTGATATATTACAATTGATTTAAAATTGATTTATGAATTATTTTGTGCTTCATAATTGTTTTGCCGTTTTGAAATGGCTGAAAAGCCATTACTGGTGTATAATAGGCTATTTAATGGCAGGTTCCCATTGTGACAACTTACTCCATATAGTTTGGCAATATTCCCCACTACTGAGAACACAAGGTTGATGTGAGTTAAATTAGCTTTTTCCAGGGCAATAACAGTGAAAATGTTCAATAGCTGTTTTTTTTAGTCAAGTTGTGTCACAAGTTATGTGTCAATAAAGACATTTCCTTTCAAAAGTAAACCTACCCTGAGAAATATTCACTGGACTAAGAAGTGACAACTAGCTCAATTCTCCTCTAATTGGTCAGAAAAGTATACAGTATATGTTCTCTAAGTAAAAAACAAGCAAGCTCATTTAAGATAATGCAGATATGCCCAAGGGATGTTGTGAATCAGAAGTTACTCAGAAATTTGTCAATGAATAATAATAATTGCATCTTAATGCAGGACCAAACAATGTGCTCAAGATGCAACTGAAACTTAAATTCAGTTTCCATTTCCAGAAAAATGAAAGGATTACCTGCAGCAAATTATCCATTTTATTTGTTAAATAATATTTCAGTAAGCAAATACTATGTATTTAGTAATGCCTTAATAAAGAATCAAATAACAAGATGTTCATTTATAGTGCCATATAGTTTTGTGTGTGTAGTATTAAAATATTGTATGTAATTAAATCATTATGTTGCTGGTATTTTTGCAGGCATTTCAGAAATAACAGCATCAGTGAATCCTGCACTCAGTTCTGATCCAGATGTTGTAGTCTCATGTTCAGCCACAGGTAAACCAACTCCAACTATCCACTGGAAATCTGCAGAGAAAGAGCTGAACAACTTTAGGTTAAGTAATTTCACAACACTCAACAAAGACAGCTCAACCACCATTACAAGCAACCTCACGCTTCCGCTGTCACAGTTTCATGGGAAGTACGTGGAATGTGTGGCTCAGAGTGACAGCATGGAGAAGAGCAGCCAAATCTATGTGCCTGAAGTAGAATATAAAGGTATCTTGATTTGACTTCTGAAACATAAGTGTTTGGGGTGGTAGTGGCATAGTGGATTAAAAATTATATGGACTACCAATCAAATAATCAATTATTGTAATTTCAGAATTAGCAGTGGCGGCTCGTGGGTTTTAAAATAGAGGAGGCACACTAATTGTATTGGTCTGGGATAACAGTGAAAATTATTTTCACTGCCGATTATTATTTAGCCTCCCTTGCAAGGATTCTTTTCTCAACACTCCTCAGCGCTGAAAGCGAACACTCGATGCTGATTGGCTAATTTTTTTTTTACCAACGGAGGCAGCTCCGAAATCGTCCTCCTCCCATTTTCACCTCAAAATTATGGGGAAGCTGTGCCTCCCCCGAAGAGCAGCCACTGGAATTAGGCTAAAAAAAGATGCATGTGCATATTCTTAAATGAAATCATTTTAATCAATATTTTCATGCCAATCAACCTTTTTGTTTCACAGAGAATAAAGTCACATTAAGAAATTATATCATTCCGATGCTGGTTGTGGTTATCATGAGTATTGCCATTATTGCTACCTACCTTCACACAAAGTTAAATGGTAAGCTGAAAAAATATTACACTCTAGTTATCAGGACCATACTGTCATGTAAAGAACAGCATTATTTTGTATATTCATTATATATATATATTTTTTCAGATAAAGATAAAAAATCTGCTTCTCTGGTTTGAACTACTGCGCAGCTGCTACTTTATTCAGAATTTACAAATCTTTCTGATGCATTTTTTTTTCATCTGCTAAAAAAGTCACTTCCTGTTTATATTCGTGAATAAGCTCATTTTTAATATAATGGTATAAATAATATCTGTTCACCTGAGAAAGTCTGTATTTTTCCACAGTTTCTACATCCTGCATCTGCATTTTAAGTTCCTTGTAACATTCTGTATTCTTTATTGTTGTGAGATTTGTCTTTAGGATTTTAAATAGTTCTATTACAGGCAGCTCTCTAAGAGTAATATGCTCAGCTTTAATCTGCAAAATGCTTAGTTGTAAGCTTTAAGCTGTTTGGTATTTATTGTGTTTGTGCTACCAATTCAGGATTAGTATATCAAATAGAATAGATTTGTTTGTTTGTTTTTGTGCATTTATTGTTTTGTTTATATATATATATATATATATATATATATATATAATTTTAACTTTTGTATAAGTCAATTTTGTGTGGTTTTTTTAGTTTTATACATTTTTTTTTATATATATATATATATATATATATATATATATATATAATTTTAACTTTTGTATAAGTCAATTTTGTGTGGTTTTTTTAGTTTTATACATCACACAGTAGAATATATATTCTTTGTCATCTACACTATGTATGGCCCATGAGTTCTTAGGTATCCATGTCAATTACTGAAACTCACAGAGTCAGACATGAAACTGTCCAAGCCACAAAATGCTTTAGCAGTCAAAAGTCTTTTCCACTAATCTACAACATACTGACATGCTGTTCAGCAAAGCTACAGGTCACCTGTCCATAATGCTCAAAGTTCTGAAATAAAACATACTTGTTGAACCCAAACACTCATGAAGTGTCAGTCATTGATGGCTAAACCACCACACATAGCGATTTTGCCATTTCTAAAACTTTTCCAGAAACTTTTTTTTTTTTGTAGACATTTAAAAAAAAAAAAAAATGTCCAGACAACAAGACAATCTAAGTTTATTGGCCTAAGTGGTTTATTGGTTTATTTATCTAAGTAAAGTATCTTGTTAAGTCATATCCAGTGACACTCATTCCAGCTTAGTATTTAAATGCTGCAAGGAAAGTACCTAAAGTAACCACTATCCACCTGAAATGTAAAATGTAAAAAACTTACCAAAAAAGTCGTGCTTATTTCTTCTTAATCCATACCTAACATTGTGTTACAAACATAATAAATTTAAGTTGTTGTTCACTAAATGTCTTGCTTAATTCACATTCAAACCTGGCACATTAAAGGTATAGGTCACCCAAAAATGAACATTTGCTGAAAATTTACTCACCCTCAGGCCATCCAAGATGGACTGGAGTTGTATGGATTACTTGTGGATTACAGTATTGTTTTTATCAGCTGTTTCAACTCTCATTCTGATGGTACCCATTCACTGCAGAGGAACCATTGGTGAGCAAGTGATGATGATGATGATGATGCTAGATACTTTATTGATCCCCGAGGGGAGATTCAGGTATCCAGTAGCAACATTAAAACAGACAACAAAGCATGCATAAAAAAGTATAAACTTAGAATACAAAATAAAAAACAAAAGAGTACATGTACAAAATAAACAAGTGCATGAATGGAAATACTAGCGTTAGATGCTGGGTACCAGCATCAAATATGCAAATATACAGAGGTGTTTACGATGTGCAAATATGTAATACAATACACTATAAAGATAGTAAGAGTCAAAATCCAGGTATTTAAAATATATAAAAATGTAATAAAAATACTGTAAAGATGACATAAGTCCAGTACAAAGATAAAAGTATATAGATGGCATGGGACATAAAAGACGGCAGTGCTCACCAATTCTGTGTCCATCAATTTAGAAAGTCCATTAACAACAGTCCAGTTCAAGTCCTGCTCACAAGGAAGAGTTGAAGAGCCGTATAGCCTGAGGGACAAACGACTTCCTCAGTCTGTCTGTAGAGCAGGGCAGGGACAACAGCCTGTCACTGAACGAGCTCCTCTGCCTGGAAATGGTTTGGTGCAGAGGGTGGTGGACATTGTCCAGGATGGAAAGTATCTTGCCGAGGATCCTTTTCTCAGCTGCAGATGTCAGGGTGTCCAGTTCAGCACCAACTACTGATCCAGCCTTCCTCACCAGTTTGTCCAACCGCGTGGTGTCCCTCCTCTTAATGGTGCCTCCCCAGCACACCACAGCATAGAAGAGAACGCTGGTGATGACAGTCTGATAAAACATCTGCAGCAGCTTCTGGCAGATGTTAAAGGACCCCAGCCTCCTCAGGAAGTAGAGTCAGCTCTTTCCCTTCCTGTAGAGGGCATCCGTGTTTGGGGACCAGTCCAGTCTGTCGTCTAACTCCAGACCCAATATCTGTATGTCTGGACCATCTCTACGCAGACACCCTCAATGGACACAGGCTGCAGGTGGGGTCTGGGCCTACGGAAGTTGACCACCATCTCCTTGCTCTTGGTGGTGTTGAGCTGCAGACTCACTGTTAGACCTGCACCATGCCACAAAGTCCCCGATCAGGCTCCTGTACTCCTCTTCCTGTCCATTCCTTATACACCCAACAATGGCCATGTCATCAGAGAACTTCTGCATGTGACACAAGTCCGAGTTGTATTTAAAGTCAGAGGTGTACAGGGTGAACAGGACCGGGGAGAGCACTGTTCCCTGTGGGGCTCCTGTGCTGCTAACCACAGTCTGAGAGGTGCAGTCGGACATACTGAGGCCTTCCAGTGAGGTAATCTGTGATCCACCTCACCAGGTAAGAGTCCACACCCATCATTTTCAGCTTGTCCCTCAGTAGCGGAGGCTGGATGGTGTTGAAAGCGCTGGAGAAATCAAAGAACATAATCCTCACAGCGTTACTGCCCCTGTCCAGGTACGAGAGTGACTGGTGAAGCAGGTAGAGAATGGCATCCTCCACACTCACTTTCTCCTGATAGGCAAACTGCAGTGGATCAAGTGCATGTTGGACCTGTGATCTGAGGTGGTGTAACAGCAACCGCTCCATGGTCTTCATGACATGGGATGTTAGGGCGACGGGCCTGTAGTCATTCAGCTCCTTGGGGTGCAGTCTCTTCGGAACAGGAATGATGCAGGACGTTTTCCTCCCTACTCGCATACTCAGGTTATAGATATGCTGTAGGTGGTCACCCAGTTCCAGAGCACAGGCCTTGAGTAGCCTGGGACACACACCGTCAGGCCCGGCTGCTTTGCTGGTGCGTAGCCTGCTCAGCTCTCCACTCACCTGAGCTGCTGTAATGTTGCTGATGTTGCTCTCCCCAGAGGGTGTCGGAGGAGGGGAAGTATCAGTGGATAATGGGAAAGGTGGTAAGGGGGTGGTTTCTTCCCATCGAGCCTTGTTGATCGAGGGAGGTGCAGGGGTGGCAGCGGGACAGGTTGCAGCAGTGGAGGCAGGGCAGTCAAACCTGTTGAAGAAGTTGTTTAACTGGTTGGCCTTCTCCCGATCCCCCTCAACTGTGCTCCCCCGCTTAGAGCAGTATCCTGTGATGGTCTTCATACCATCCCACACCTCTCTTGTGCTGTTCTGCTGCAGTTTCTGCTCCACTTTCCTTCTGTAGGTATCCTTGGCTTCTTTCAGCTGGACTCTGAGCTCCCTCTGTACGTGTCTCAGCTCCTCCTGGTCACCATTCCTGAAGGCTCTCTTCTTTTGATTAAGGCGGTCCTTGATGTTGCTGGTAATCCAGGGTTTGTTGTTGGAAAAGCAGCGTGTACAGTTCTAGTAGGGACCACAACATCCATGCAGAAGTTCATGTAGTCAGTTATGCAGCTGGTGATACCCTCAATGTCCTCCCGACTCCTGCAGCATTCTCCAATCAGTAGACTGAAAACAGTCCCTCAGTGCCTCCTCAGCCTCAGGAGACCACTTCCTAAATGAGTGTGTGGTGGTGAATTCTCTCCGTACCTTGAGCTTGTAGTGAGGCCAGAGCAGAACCAGATTGTGGTCTGATTTCCCCAGTGGTGGCAGAGGAATGGCAATGTATGCATCCCTTATATTTGCATACAACAGATCAATAGTCCTGTTTCCTCTGGTGGAACAGTCCACATATTGGAAGAAAGCAGACAAGGAGGAGTCCAGTGTCATGTGATTGAAGTCCCCGGAAATAAACATAAAGGCTTCAGGGTGCTGTGTCTGTAGTCCCGCGACAACCGAGTGGATGATGTCACACGTGACCTCCACTTGCGCTCGTGGGGGGATGTAAACACAAACAACAATGGCGTGAGAAAATTCTCTGGGCATGTAATATGGACGTAGACTTACAGCCAAAAGTTCAATGTCCCTACTGCATGTTATCATCTTAACAGTGACATGCCCTGGATTACACCATCTGTTATTAATAAACAATGCAAGTCCCCCACCTTTGCTCTTCCCCCACGCCTTTGTGTCTCTGTCGGCCCTGACTGTAGTGAAGCCGGGTAGATCCACATTAGCATCCGGAATGCTAGCGGTTAGCCACGTCTCGGTGAAACACAGCAGACTGCACTCCCTGTAGATCCTCACGTTTTTCACGAGTGCAGCCAGTTCATCAATTTTGTTGGCCAGTGAGTTGACATTCCCCATAACTACAGATGGAACAGAGGGCTTGTATCTCCACCGCTTCTCGTGGCGCCTAGCCTTCACCTTAGCGCCGGCGGTATGATAATAAGCACTACACAGGCGCGTAATGGCAAAGTTAAATAGGTAAAAAACTATTAAAAAACAACTAAGAACGCGATGCAAAGATGGAGCTACTGGAAAAGCCGCCTGCTCGCGCTGGCGCCGGAAGTGACGTCGTGAATTTGAAATGCTAAATTCCTCCAAATCTGTTCTGGCGAAGAAACTCTATATCCTGGATGGCCTGAGTAAATTTTCAGCAAAATTTCATTTCCATTTTCCCTTTGAAAATTCATGACGACTCATTTGTTTTCATTACTGGAAGTGCAGAACACCCAGCACTTCCTTCTGTGGTTTCACATGGCATTGGTCCACTGGATGCAAATTTAAAGGGCGCCTATTATACAAAATCCACTTTTACATGGTGTTTGAACATAAATGTGTGTTGGCAGTATGTGACACACAACCACCCTACAATGATAAAAAACTACAGACTCATTTTTTAATCCCCATTAAACCAAATCAGGCTCATTAGACATGCCGTATTGATTCTCTGAGAAGTGTGATGTCACATTGCTCAGACCCCGCCCACGGCTGCTGACTCACTGCCGTATTAGCAGCCAGAGACCCTACCTTGAGTGAGCAGCACACAATCTGCCATGTTTATCTTAACGCTAGAGCATTTAAAAGCAGCATTCAAGCTAGAAATGTCATCTTATTAAAGCTATAGAATTTATTCGGCAGTGAGTGAATTTCTGTTTTTATTTAATTGTTTGGGTCATAGTAACAGCGTAGACAGCTGTATAGGTACTGCATATTACGCTGCTGTCATTTACAAAGATCATCTAATATAAACATGTGAATTCTTTCCCAGCTGTTTACCTTCACAGACATAACTGACTGTGTTTTTGCAACGTGTTTTTAACATAACCTTGTGTGTATTTGACAGTTTAAGCGCAATAAGACATGAATGAGACAGTTTAGTGCTCACATGCCGTGCGACAGCCGCTTTCTGTGTGCGTGCTTCGGATGTGTGCGCCCAGAAAATACTATATCAGAAGTTTCAACTGATATGGCTTTAAAATGCATGATTTCAGCGCGATAGACATAATAATCAAAACCAAACTGATGATTTTATGTTAGCCAAAAAAAACTATTTGAATTTTTTTCCTGATATATCAATATTTTCTTTGCTCAACAATTAAATATTTGATTGATTATTAACATATTTAAATAAGTAGAGAGATTGCTAGTATTTCAGACACATATTTGCATCATTTTCTGTAAAATCGATATTATGAAGATCTCAGACTCCCCGAAATCATACCATACAGTAGTGTGGAATGCTGAATCTGAATATTGTGACTTTACACACAATATTTACCATAATAGGCTACATTATGTCAGAGCAAAAAATAAAACCACTTCTGCATTTATTTCATTTTCTGGGAAATACTACTGTTGCTATTTAACATGGATGATTTATTGCCAAAAAAACGATGACTCATTGAATGATGACTCATTATACCTACCGTAGTAACACAAAATCTTTATTTAAATAGGAAACTCTCATAATTACTTCAGATGGTAAAGTTGGCAAACAGGTGATTTATTTATATTCAATTTACATGAATAGAGGAGCTTAACATTCATGTACATTCAATTCAATTCACATTCATTTGTATAGCGCTTTTCACGATAAAAATCAGTGCAAAGCAGCTTAACATGAAAATTTCTACATTATATTTAGGAGTATCTTATCAGTGGTGATGTCAAGGTTATGTCCATATGGCAGAAATGTAGCTACAGTAAAAATCACACAGTTAGTTAATGGCATGTATTCAAACAAACGAACACTATTAACAGCAATGATTATGTTGCGATCAAACTTATAGCAAAATTTGGTAGTTTTTTTTATGTTGGTTCAGGGTTGGCGTCATCTGAGGTCCTCTGAGGGGTTGGCATTGGCATCATCTCTTCTCAGGTGTTCAGTCATCTCAGATCTTTGTAAGGGTTGGATCCAGACTGAAGCTTGTGTAATTCCTAGTTACCTCGGGATGACCATCCCATGGCAGAAACAGAGAAGCAAACAGAGAACAATTGGCATATGCTGTTTAAACCAAGCAAAGAATGATGATGTGCATTTGATCAAATATAACTGAAGTACAAGGTTATGAGATACATTATGTGAATGTTTGGCTAAAGAGATGTGTCTTTAATCTAGATTTAAACAGAGAGCGTGTGTCTGAACCCTGAACATCATCAGGAAGGCTATTTCACTTCAACACGTGCTTGGATATAACGCGAAACCTACCGCAGGGAACCCCTAAAAGGAAGCTTACGCTAACAACCAGTAAATAACCATGACGCTGAATGGGAAATTCATTCTTTCACTTTCGCTATGTTATATAGGGCTGTGTCTGGTTAGAAACAGACCATACTACCAACCATTCGACATGTTGTGTCTGTTGATCCTAATTTTAAGCCTCATAAATAGAGGTTGGTCATGATAATCCTTCTTTTTTACTCAATATTTCTTTGTCTATTTCTTCTATTTCGCATTTCTTTTCGAGATAAAACTGTATAAAGTTGGTAACCTAATAACTTGTTTTTTCATTTCGCAGCTTATCTTTCAGAAATTGTAGCACAGGGAGACACAGTTGTTGTGTTTGGTCAGGATGCTTCATTCTCCTGTACGCTGTCAGACGCGTCTAATGTCAAACAAGTCACATGGCAGCGGGTACGTGACCAGGAACCGGTACAAACTCTGGCTACATTCAGCGAGCTCTTCAAGGATCATGTGGATGATCAATATGTCGGAAAAGTCACTTTCACCGCGGTGTCAGTTAATTCAACATCCATTGAGATCAAAAACGCAACATTTGAAGACGAGGCTTGCTATATTTGTTCCTTCAAAGTGTATCCACTCCAACCTAAACGACAAACCTTGTGCCTCGCCGTTAAAGGTAAGCTAAACCATGGAAGTCACAAACGTTTTCTCTCAGGTTTTGACTCAAAAACACAAGTATCAGCTAACAGGCAGATTTTAACCAAAATGTAGAGCTATGTTTTCAGGACTAGCGCATGTCAGTTTGGGGCAGCCTGCCACGTGTTTTAAATGTCAAATTTGATACAGTTTCCTTTTATCAAAACAGTGGTTTGATATTTATTTTTAAAACTGATTTAAAATTGATTTATGAATTATTTTGCGGGTGCTTTCACACCTGTAGATCGATTGCTTTGTTCCGAAACAGGGTTTAAAATTATTACAATGTTGCTTTTTATTCTTGGTGCGGTTTGCTTTCACACGGCAAAGTTTCTAAACGGACCAAATTTGTTAATACAAGTCACGCGCGAGTAAACTGTTCTCTCATTGGTCAAAGTTTCACGGTTTATTTTCCGAGATTCCACCCAGTGTTGCCAATTTAGCAATTTTGTTGCTAGATTTAGCAACTTTTCAGACTACCCTAGCAACTTTTTCTTCCAAAAGCACCTAGCAACAAATTTAGCTATTTTTTTAAATTTATTTGGCAACATTTAGCAACTTTTGATAAGTGACTCACACGATAAAAAAGGCACAATTACACAAATTACACAAAAATAGGAAACCAAAGGTGCCTAGCAGTACACAATTCACATTTTCAGGCTAGTTTTGAGTAGTAATTGGGCGGGTTTTGTAGCGAAAACCTGGCAACCCTGCACCAGACAGAGCTGTCGGCGATTCTTCCTATTGTAAAGTCATACAGTGTGTAACCTCCTGTCGTCGTTCCATCGTGCAGTGTGAACACAGCAACAACTGAATGCTACCCCAGATAGTCGTTCAGTGTGAAACCAACAGTGATTCAACGTCTTTGAAAATCGTGCAGTGTGAACTCGGCATAAGGGGGGAAACGCGCCAGGTTCCGAAACAACGGGCCAGGTGTGAAAGCACCAAGAAGTGCCAACTAGCTCCAGTCTCCCCCACCTTGCCAGTATAAGTGTACAGTATGTTGTGTTAGTAACAAAACAAGCAGTTTCATCCAGGATAATGCAGATATGCCCAAACTGGTAGAGGGCCGGTTTCAATAAGAAGATACTCAGAGATCTGTCTATGAATAATAATTGCATCGTAATGCAGGACCAAACAATGTGCTCAAGATGCAACTGAAACTTAAATTCAGTTTCCAGTTCCAGAAAAATGAAAGGAGTACATGCAGCCAATTATCCATTGTATTTGTTAAATAATATTTAAGTAAGCAAATGCTATGTATTTAGTAATGCCTTAATAAAGAATAAAATATAATAAGATGTTTATTTATAATGCCATATAGTTTTGTGTTTGCAGTATTAAAAGATTGTACATAATTAAGTCATTATGTTGCTGGTATTTTTTCAGGCATTTCAGAAATAACAGCATCAGTGAATCCTGCACTCAGTTCTGATCCAGATGTTGTAGTCTCATGTTCAGCCACAGGTAAACCAACTCCAACTATCCACTGGAAATCTGCAGAGAAAGAGCTGAACAACTTTAGGTTAAGTAATTTCACAACACTCAACAAAGACAGCTCAACCACCATTACAAGCAACCTCACGCTTCCGCTGTCACAGTTTCATGGGAAGTACGTGGAATGTGTGGCTCAGAGTGACAGCATGGAGAAGAGCAGCCAAATCTATGTGCCTGAAGTACATTATAAAGGTAACAGGTTCAACATGGACATCGGCTCGAATAGAATCACATTGTAAAAATGTGCAGTTGTTACTTTCTACCTAATGCAGTCAGGCTGATTCAATTTTTGAATTGAATAAAACCAGTTAATTTAGATGTTACAACATGAAGCACATTTTTAGATTGCCTGACAAAACAGTGAAACCAATTAAGGTATACATTCATTATGTTGCAATTTTGACTTTGAACTGCAATGCTTAATCTCAATATTTATTTATTTGTTTCTTACAGTGAACGCTACACCAAGAAGTTACATCATTACAGTTTCAGTCCTCATTGTCATGGCTGTTGTGGTTATTGTCATTATTGTCATCTGTTCTCACACCAGACTAAAGAGTAAGCAGCAAAATCCCTCTATCCAACAAGTTGAAATAGGCTAATACAACCCAACATACTGTCATCTTTTAAGAATAGATCTCAGTTGCAAAATAATTTAATACATAATTTCATTTTGCTAATTTTTTTCCCCCAAGGAGCCACTTTTGGGATAAAATCTACTTATGAGGAACCCCTCAATCCCCCAAAGGAGGAATGTTAACTCTACAGCTATCTCATAGTATGCATTTTTGCTCATGACCTTTATTAATATGAACTTTTGGGTTCTAACCTGTGTGTTCCTTAAAGGAATCATGAATTTTCTGTCTAGTATTTATTTAATTTATTTATTTATATTTACATTACTGTATAGTATTCCATTGCATTAATATAATTAAATATAGTTAAATATATAATATTTTACCACTATGTCAGAGTATTTTGATCACAGAGAATAACTATATCATGAACAGATGATATTCATACTGTAACTTTATATTTTCAGGCATATACATTTGCACTTTATGAATCTAATTAATGTACGGCCATGCACTAAATAGTTTTTAATTGTCGTCTTCTGTTGAGTCTGACAGTAATTTATAAATTCAGCTTGATATAAGTCTTGATGTTTTCCCACAATCCTTGATGTTGGACTTTACAGTGGTACAGTATTTTGTTGAGCAATGACAGTGATTTGGGGAAGAAAAACATAGTTACTCAATACAGATAAGCTAAAGGCTGAGAAACCTAGTTTTCAGTAGTGTTAAAGAAAGTGAAAGTTATGTCATTAACGGAAACAAGCTGTTTTGTGGTTTCCTGCACGAAACTCTAAAGGCTGCACAGAGAGATGACTGCTATTGTTAGTATTTATACTATTGTTATTTGTTGACTGCAGCCAACTTGCTAGAAGTAAGTGTATCTAGATGGCAGGAACGACTGGAAAGTAAATCATAAAAGGATAAACACCTATTTGTGTTGAAAAGATTTCTGTGTGATATATTCTTACCTATGTATGTTACAGTATATCTATAACCTGTAATATGTGATTGCGCTGAATTAAAAATGTGAACTGTTAGATTCAATGACTGGATTACTTAATAACATTGTAATACTCTGTACTTCTACCAAATGTGTAAACCATACACATGGAAAATGTATGGTTTTCCAGACAGAGGGTCCCTTTCTGGGGATGTATCTAGGGCAAATTCATGTGACATATGACATGACTAAAATATATCATATGACAAGATTTCTAAAAAAAAAAACATGAAATTCTGACGTTACATGACTGCTAATTTTCACAGAAACAGAGGAAGCTATTCAAGTAGTGATCAGAAAGGGACCCTCTGTTTGGTTTAGCTAAAAATTACATTTAAAGCTGTAACCACATAGCAGTAAAAGTTGAGGCATGATTCTTGTACAAAGTAAACCTACTGTATAAAACTACTGTATGTGCCTATGCTGCATTTAAAGGGTTAGTTCACCCAAAAATGAAAATTCTGTCATTAATTACTCACCCTCGTGTTGTTCCAAACCTGTAAGACCTTCGTTCATCTTCGGAACACAATTTAAGATATTTTTGATGAAATCTGAGGGCTCTCTGACCCTCCCATAGACAGCAAGGTAACTACCACGTTCAAGGTCCAGAAAAGTACCAAGATGATCGACAAAAGGGCCTTTCGCACCGCTTTAGTTCCAGAACTAAACAATTTAGCGCAAATTATTTCCCTCTACCATTTAAAGGGTTGCATTCGCACCGACAGTGTGTACTAGGAAGTGACGTAAGCCGGTCGACAGCGACATCATTTGTGCGCGGCGTTCAACAACGGAAACAAAGAAGAACAACGTTAACAACAGGAGGATGGAGGGTTGGTTTCACAATAATGGACATGGAATGTCGACGTATACGTAAAGCGATTGAAAGAACGGAAAGGAGGACTAAGAATCTCCAACGACAACTGGCAGTGCTACATTTGCTGCACTTCAAATGTGCACTTCAGCGTCCGTCCATCTATCGCTGCTCTCAATACTTGCGAAATAAGTTGACAATGCTTACAGTATGCTTACACAGCGTTTTAAATCATGGCGGTGGCGGTGCGAAAACGCCAAAAAGTGGGTAGTTCCACAATTAGTTCTGGTACTATGAAAAGGTTCTCGCGGTGCGAAAGGCCCTAATGTAGTCCGTGTGACATCAGTGGTTCAACTGTAAAGTTACGAAGCTACGAGAATATTTTTTTGCGCAAAGAAAACAAAAATAACGACTTTATTCCACATTTTCGTCTCTACTGCGTCACTTGTGGACGTGCGTTCACCACGTCATTACGCCGGATCTGGGTCAGCGCCGCTACACGCTCGCGTGAACAACCCGAGGGTGAGTAATTAATGACAGAATTTTCATTTTTGGGTGAACTAACCCTTTAACACAACTTGCAGTATCAAACCACCTCCAGCGAAAACTGAATTAAGTTCATTTCGAGTTTTTGTTCTCTCAAATGACCAACTCAAAACTTTCAAACAGTACTTTGCTACATCTTTTTTCAGCAGGCATGTGGTCTGTGATTGCCTAAAGTGATGCATCAGTGCTGCAACTGCAAAGTTTAAAGGAAGTTGTCAATGCACTAGAGCTTCAGACAAACTTTGGGTAGCCATTTTCAAGTAAGCCATTTCCTCCAACTGACTGAGCAAAGAAACATGCAGATCTTTCACCCGACCACTGCGTTCATTATAATGGTTGTTCTCTGCAGTCTTCTCTGGCAGCGGGTAAGTCTCATTCAATTATTAACTAGGATACATATAATTTAAACTTCAAAATGTACTCTATAGTACAATATGTTACTGAGAGTAGCATTCAGGTTATCACTTTTTTTTTTTTTGGGCATATATAAATAAATTGGATACATTTGTTTTCAATACAGCTTTTTGTTAAAGTAATTTTGGTGTTGATGTCATTTCTGATACAATCTGTATTTTTGATGGGCTATTACAAAATATTTCCCATGTGCAGTGACTGTGATATACTCGCATGAACCGGTAACGAAGACGGAAGGCCTCAAGTGCACGGTGAAATATAAGATACAGGATTGCGACATTCAGACCAATTGGTGATATATGAACATCCGTGAGTCTGTGCAAATCACGGATCCGAGCAGATATCTAATCACAGTAAATGAAACAGAAAGAGATGAGTACAGGCTAAGGAGCATTTTCCTGACATTGAATTCCTTGAGACGTTCAGACAGTGGCTTCTACCAGTGTGATGCCGAATGTCTCAACAGTGGGACTCTAGCGAGAGGCCATCTCGTGCACCTCATTGTCACAGGTTTGAGCTGAAGAAACATTATTTTGATTCTTAGTTCTTGTATGCTGCAATACTCTTGTATGTGACACTTGTTAATGTGACACATGTGACTTTTTCTACAGCTGATCCGTATAAAGGTCTGAAGTTCTCAGCATGGAGCGGCCAGTTAAAGGCAGACAAGTCAAGTCAAGTCAAGTCTGCTTTATTGTCAATTCTTCCACATGTACAGCACATACACACAGAGAATTGAAATTGCGTTACTCTCAGACCCTTGGTGCATACAGATGGAGGGAGTTCAGCTTCCTGACAGCCTGATGGATGAAGCTGTCCTTCAGTCTGCTGGTCCTGGCCTGGAGACTCCGCAGTCTCCTCCCTGATGGCAGCAGACTGAAGAAGCTGTGTGTTGGGTGGGTGGGATCACCTGCAATGCAGAGGGCTTTGCGGGTGAGACGGGTGTTGTAAATGTCCTGGAGGGAGGGGAGAGAGGCACCAACGATCTTCTCAGCTGCTCTCACTATGCGTTGAAGTGTCTTGCGGTAGGACACGTTGCAGGCGCCATACCACACAGTGATGCAGCTCGTCAGAATGCTCTCGATGGTGCCTCTGTAGAAGGTGCACATGATGGGGGCCGGGGCTCTGGCTCTTCTTTCAGACGCAGCTGCGCTAGCACTCAGTGCTATATTATTAATATTATGGTGTTATTAAATGACATTGTGTTTTCAGTATGGAGCAATACAAGTTATCAACATATGAAATGCACTGTTATAAATCCGCTGGTGTGACCAACTGTACTTTTATTGTATTCTAGACTTGATCCAAAGTCTTGGATAAGTGCTTCAGGTAAAACATAAAACAAACTCTACTTAGACATGAAAAAGCGTGCAGATTTACAGTCGTGGCCAAAATTTTTGGCAGTGACATAAATTGTGTGTTTTGCAAAGTTTGCTGCTTCAGTATTTGTAGATTATTTTTCCACGTTTCTATGGTATACTGAAAAACAATTATAAGCATATCATAAGTTTTAAAAGCTTTTATTGGCAAGCAAATATAATGAGTCAATATTTACAGTGTTGACCCTTGTTCTTCATAACCTCCACAATTCGCTCTGGCATGCTGGATATTAGCTTCTGGGCCAAATCCTGACTGATGGCGATCCATTCTTGCCTTATTAGATCTCGAAGGTTCTTTCAGGTACAATATTCTTTGTGGCAATTTCCTTGCATGTGAGGCCATTTTGATGCAAAGCGATGATGGCTGCACGTGTTTCTCTGGAGGTAACAATTGCTAACAAGAACACAATGATTGGAAGCGCTTCTTTCCTCCATCAGTCTGCTCTTACAATCTATTTAGTATGATAGTGATTTCACCTGACTAGTATTTATTCACACTTTCACATGTGCTGCTGATATGATTATTAAATTAATGTTAGCTGGTCATTTTGTGTCAGGATCAAAAAACAGTGACATTTTTGAAAGAAGTTCATTTTTTTGGCCAATGAAGCTTTTAGCAATTATTTAAAATGCATCTGATCACTCTACACAATAATCTAGAAACAATGTGAATGAACACCACAACAGCTTGAGCAGCAAACTTTGCAAAACACAAAATTTATGTCACTGCCAAAACTTTTGGCCAAGACTGTAGATACAAACCAGGGGATTTGGAGGATTTGGATTGATCTCAATAGAGACATACTGCCATCTACTGGATATCAGATGTCTTATAGAAATCACAGGAAAACATAATTATAATATTTCTCTCATGTCTGACATATTCAACTCATGGACTTATAATGAAAATAATGAAGTAATGAAAGATGTTTCTTTTTTGGCCAATAATAAACCTGCAAAGGTTGTGTGAGCACTGCACTTCTGATGCTAAGGATGACAGGTTGGAGGAGAACTTAACATCAATATTTTAAGTTAATAAGTTCTGATGACCCATTACATGAGTCTGGAATAAAATGATTCATGGTCATTATGAGGGGGTAAAGGGCCAGATGACAACTGGGTTTTACCTTCTATCATTGGAAACTTATAGCGACTTTCGTGAGAGGTGTGATTTTAGTTCCCTTAAGGAAGCACATATGCAAATTTAACCTTCAGTCAGCTTGCACGGTCCGTTGACTTCCTCTTTCTTTTCCTGTCAGTCTCTCTCTCCCTATTTAGTTCTCCCTTCATGGTGACTTTATCCAAGAACTATGCCAGGTAATTCTGAACTTTCATTTTTATTTATTCTTCTCTGAAGAAAACACTGAAAACCCCCTCCGTCATTTTCTGCTGGTCATTCAATACTGAAATTATTATATCTAATTACAGTAACTAAGCTTTTAAGGGAGTCATATATTTTACATTCTATAATGATTATATTTCACAACTGTTGCATTTTCTTGCCTGTCTTATATAAGAATTGTGTCTTGAAAAACAATCTACTTTTTTGTTTTCAAATTACTGGCAGAACATGCAGGGTTGGAATGGAAGTTTTACAGTGCTCTGGTGATGCCACCAAAAAGTACAGTCAAAAATACGATTGGTATTCATATTATTAGTAACCAATGGGACACAAAACTATACAGGTCATTTCTGGTATTCAGTGACGTTTCTTGTCCCCAGAAAAGATCACAGTTTTATTGCCTTATAGTGCTGAATAAAGAAATAATACCATTTGAACTTAAGCATATTGAAGTTGATAATGGTTTGTCTATCACATTTTAATGAATACAACAATTACTATTATTGATTTTTTTGTAGTTGATGAGGTGAAAATTATCAGGGTGTTTAATGTAATGAATGCAAAGTTTCCTGGCAGTGTCAACCATATTTTAAAGGAATGGTTCTAAGATGTAGCTGAGTTTGTTTGATCTGTGCATTTTTCTCCCCCAATTCAGACAATATTTTTTACTAGATTAAATGCACAATATGTAATTTTCGCCGCTAGAGGGCGCGTATTCAAAATAAACAAATAGACAAAGGCGTAGTTTGATGACTGAGAGTGGAATCATGGGAGTTGTTGTCTTCATCCCCACAGCCGATGCAATCCGACGGGACTCCGGCAGAAATCATGTTCATGGATGAGCTAATGATTAACGTCGTAGTATAAAGCAGGGTGAGGCTGAAAGCCGTCCGCACTGTTCTAGTGGTTTTTGGATATTTTAATAAAAAAATCTTACATATTGTGCCTTTAAGCAATATACTGGAAGCAACAGTTTGAAGTTAAAAATGTCTTAATAATACACTCTCAGAAATAAAGGTACAACAGCTGTCACTGGGGCGGTACCTTTTCAAAAGGTACATATTTGTACCTAAAGGGTCCATTTTGGTACTTTAAAGGTACATATTGGTACTTAAAGTGTACATATTAGAACCTAATAGGAACAAAAGTGTACCTTTTGAAAAGGTACCGGCCCAGTGACAACTGTTGTACCTTTATTTCTGAGAGTGTAGGATTTTTTTTTTTTCACAAGATCTTCACAATATGTTAATTGATGACTGAAGTAATCTTTTTTTTTTATCAACTCTTTGAACTCTCATTCTGACGGCACCCATTCACTGCTGACGATCAATTGGTGAGCAAGTGATGTAATGCTAAATTACTCCAGATTCCTTCAAATGTTAGTACTGTTTATGTTTTACATAATCATGTTTGAATATTATTTGTGTTGATCATATGTGTTATTTCAGAAAGAATATTTTTAAATCACACATATACAATATACCAAATATGCCAGTTTCATAGAATAAAACAAACTGGCATTTGCAAACAAAAGATCCTAGAGCTTTTCTGGAATGTGTATATTGCATTAAAGCTTATGCAATCTTTCTTTAGCTAAATATGAAATCAAGTCATATGTATTTTACGGCAATGAGATTCAGGCATTTTAAGTGTGCCTTCAGTGTCTTCTAAGGGACACTGTAACTTCATGCTTCCTAATCACTGAATGGGCTAATGAATAAAATAAATGAATTTTCAAAAAATATTCACAGAACACAGTGAATAATATGTGTAGAGTTCCAGTAGATCTGACATAGTCTGTATGTCATGTTTCCAACAAAGCAAAATCAATGAATATTGATACCTCAGTAGAATTTCTTCAGATCGGACAATGCCTTGCAGTAAATATAATGAGGAAGAATGGCCTATTCCTTTGTGGAAGGGAAGTTAATTCATAATTTATTATTACTTGAATAGATGAAGAGGAAACTAGGCAGAAACAACTGCTACATGTGGACATTCATGTGCTTATGCACGGAGGTGCTTTCACTGCAGTGATAAACATTCACCAGGTCTTTAAAGTACCGGTAGTCATCATCTTATTGAGTGTATTGCAAAGTAATTTTTCAACTTAACCACTAGTAAAACATATTTCTCCAAATTAAGTAATACTGCAGCAAACTGCTAAATTCATCTAGCAGAAATACAACTAAAAATAGACAGAAAAAATCCTTGAATTTACTACAGAGCACAGTTTTCATAAAAAGAGTTGATGCAGAAAGTAGTTGGAGCTTAATATTTTGCATTTAGGTAACACATTTGTTTTTCAGTAATGCTAATTGCTATTGCTAATTATTTAGCATGTGTGGGTCACACTTTGCCTGGAGCAAATTCAATCTGAAAACTTGAAATCACCACAGCTAAACATCAAAACAGCTAAATGTTTGGAGGAAAAAAATGGTGTAGAAACAATTTTCACTCAGAAATTGGTAGTAAATTTCACAAACAATTACAGAAAAGAAAAAAAAAATGAAAGTAGGAAAACTAGAAATAAAGTAGAAATAAACAAACTTTATACTGAACACCATAGTTTATATTAAAGGAATAGTTCACATCCAATATGTAGATGAGTTTGTTTTTCAGTGGAACAGATTTGAAGAAATGTAGCAATACATCACTTGCTCACCAGAGGATGCTCTGCAGTGAATGGGTGCCATCAGAATGAGAGACCAAACAGCTCATAAAAACATCACAATAATCAAGTAATCCACACGACTCCTGTCCATCAATTAATGTCTTGTGAAGCAAAAAGCTGCTTGTTTGTAGGAAAGAAATCTATAATTAAGACATTTTAACTTTTATCCGTTGCTTTCGGCTTTTCAGCAACTTTGTTGGATGAACTGTTTCTTTAATTGAGTAAGTTATCTTATCACGTGTTGTTTACGGCTAAAATACTAGTCCACAATCCATAATAACGCTTCCTCCGGTGGAAAAAGTCTGTCCCCTGCTGTCCTCTCACATCAAAATCCACTGACATATTTGTTTAGAACTGTGCTTGATCTGTTCATATTTCTCTCCTGATTCAGACGAGACGACTTTTTCACTGGAGAAAGCAATATTATGGATAGAAGACTATAGATAGTTTAATTACTAACATATTTGTAGTGTATGGCTTTAGATGTCTTGAAACACATAAGGACTACTTTTTGATGCTTATTTTGCACCTTGACAGCCCCTGGTCACTATTTGGTTTTGTGGAACGGAAAAAAGCAGGATAAACATTCTTCAAAACATATTTTGTGTTCTACATAATGAAAAAAGTCCAAATGGATTTGGAATGACTGCTGAATAAATGACGACAGAATTTTCATAGACGGACCTGTAACAGAATAATTTCCATTGTTAGAAGAGATGGAATGTTGTAGCAAAATCATCTCTAACTCCAACATTTAAGAGTTAAATCATAAGAAGGAAACCCCAGTAAGTGTTAACCAATAAAAGAAAACTTGTAACAATTCTAAGGGTTGTGTGATGTCTCGAATCAAGCGCCACAGCAGCATCCCTCAGTCTGACACCATGACAACCGCAGCGCGCGAACGCTGGAATCTTTGCAGCTGCCGCGAAGCCCAATATGAAGACAAGATGCCGCCATACGAGCGCGAGACACACTTGTTCCTTTGAAATATTCCTCGCTCCGCACTCTTGGAAAAAGACGTCGAAGATTCGCAAAACCACCTGTATTTAGCGTCCGTTGGCAATGTGAGATAAACAGGCTTTCTGCTAGCTAAACCTTAATATTTCTGTGGCGTAAGAACTGCGCTGGGTTGAATACACTGAAGTAAGCCGCGCGCATAGGAGCTATGAAATGCGCATTGGAGTCAGCAATGCTCCTCATGGCGTTTACGCGTGGAGAGCCCACTGGGGCGTGTGTGCTGTGCGTGTTAATGCATGTGTGAGACAGTGAGAAAGGAAAATAGAGGAAAGAAAAAAGGCTTGTATTTGCCGCACGCGTTCCACTGGCTCTACATGGGGAATATGAGGATCTCGGGAGGACGCCAATGATAAATAGTATTCCAGACTCCCCTGCCACATAAGAAGACCACGGAACACCCTCCTCAGAGACCCCTTGTTTGATAACGAGGGACGATTAAATATCCACATAGTAAGGCGCATCAGGTAAGCGACGCCATACGGGGATTCGTTACATTCGCATTGAAGTTCTAACCCGTCTTTTGTCGAGCATCATTTGATGCGTCGCAAAAGTCAAAGCGCTCAAGCGCCTTCGTACCTACATCTGCAGGTGTCAGTGCGTGCGTTTGGTCAACAAGAATGGACAAATCACACATCTAGCCATGAAACCTGGTCTGTAAAGTAAATGAAGCGTTTATGCAGATTTTAATGAATTGGGGAAGCTTCATGAGATTTGACAGCAAATATTGAGACCAAGGATTCATACGATAAGAGTTACTACAACACTGATGTTCTGTTTTCTTAAAAGCTCTTCTACGAACTTAAATATTTTGTTGTAATTGTGTATTGGGGTTTCATCATCTTAAACGATGCTGATTACTGCATGGATGCTTAATGCTGCAGTGTTGGTTTGAGTTCAACTTAGAGATCACACCATATTGATTTTTGATGACTATACCAATACAGATTAATTATTTTTGATGTTTAAAGTGTCCAATAACCAATATGCAGAACAGATTTTTAATTATTATATTTTTGCTTTTTTCTACAATAATTAATAATCTTAATACAACTACAAAATAATATCCATTCCGAATAATGTTATATTACTATGATGATTTATTCAAAGTTGTTTGCAATCTAGATGGTGGCAGATTTATTTTGATCTTTGTTTATGGCTGTCTGAATCTGAAACAATACACTTCTCACTTGAAAATGAATGGCTGTTATATAAAAGAGTCAAAGTAATTATCCAAACTGTGTATTAGATAAGTTGCTGTACTTGTAAATATTGTTTTAGGCTGCTTCTTCATAGTGATCAATCAAATGACATCATTTACTGATAGAGATCTAATAAGTTGAAAAGAGTGAATATCAGGACAAATATTGGTCAAACTAATCATCAGTCTGTCTTATTACTGTATTGTCATTTATTCAAAATGCCAAATTATAATGGTCATGTAATCTTTTTTTTTTTACATGCATGTAAGACTTGCTAAGCAGGCACTGCTGGCTACAGGATAATTATTGATACCCGCTGCTCTCTGAGGGCTGGAGATTGTGATCAAAGATTTATACACTCGTTCCAGGCGCTGTTACTGTACGTGTGGAAACAGGTTGGGAAGTAGAGAGGGATTGTCCCAATAGATTGCTCAGCACCTCAAGGGAGCTGAGGGGAAAAAAAAGAAATTGGTGTGAACAGTATAATGAAGTGTTTTTAATGCTTAGTGTTTGCAACTTTACAGATCTTCTTTATGCACCAAGAGCTTGTAACACTCCAAAGAGAAAGGAAAAATTGAAATTGCATCATATGACCCCTTTAATGATTTGGGGAAGCTTAGTAATATTTCAAGGGCAATTGTCATCAACGATGCAAATGATAGTTGTTGCAACATTTATGTTCTGGTTAGTTAATTGGATCTAGACTTTATTATCATTAGTCATTGGTCATTAGACTAATGGCGTGCGTCTTGTGTCTTTGGGTTTCATCATCTTAAACAAGTCCTAATGCTGCAGTGTAGGTTTGAGTTCAACATTTTAGACTAATGGTGTTGTAGACAACTATCATACTTTTTGGCATGAATTAAAGGAATAGTTCACCCAAAAATGAACATTTGCTGAACATTTACATATCCTCAGGCCATCCAAAATGTACTGCAGATGAGTTTGTTTCTTCACCAGAACAGATTTGGAGAAATTTAGCATCACTTGCTCACCAATGGATCCTCTGGAGTGAATGGGTGCCATAAAAACATCACAATAATCCACAAGTAATCCACATGACCACAATCCATCAATTAACATCTTGTGAAGCGAAAAGCTGTGTGTTTGTAAGAAACAAATCAATCATTGACGCATTTGAACTTTAAACTGTCACTTCTGTCCAAAATACGGGTCCATAATCCATAATAACTCTTCTCCAGTGATAAAGTCCATCCCCTGTTGTCCTCTCACATCAAACTCAACAGATATATTTGTTTTGGACTGTTTTCACTTGTGAACAGGGCTTGATCTGTTCATATTTCTCTCCTGATTCAGACAAGATCACTTTTTCACTGGAGAAAGCAATATTACCGACAGAGGGCTCTTATTTTAGCCGTTAGCAAGTTAATCTTGATTGATTTGTTTATTACAAACACGCAGCTTCTGGATTACTGGCATTACTTGTGGATTATTGTGATGTTTTTATTAGCTGTATGGCCTCTCATCCTGCCAGCACCCATTCAAACTCATCTACAACTTGGATGACCTGCAGGTGAGTCAATTTTATGCAAATTTTCATTTTTGGGTGAACTATTCCTTTAATGCATTTACACAAACTGTTCCTGTATAAATCCGTTTATACAGATAATATAAATGTGGAAATAAAGTTATTGCATTAATGTTTTAAAAATGAAATTATTCATACAGAATAATAAAAATTATTAACAGAAAAAAGTAAGACAAAGATTATAAATTATGAAATCTAAACAATTTAAGGCTTCTCTGATGTTGCATTTCACTTAACCAAACAAGGAGCACCAGAGCTGGATTGGATACTATGAGTCAGTGCCGTGGCATATTTTAGTACCATTTTATGCTGCAGATACAGTGTACAGTGTACAGAAACCTTAAGACTTAACGCTACAGGATGATAAATTATGTCTGTTCATCTCTGAGGGCTGAGGAGTGTGACCCCAGTTTATACACTCGTTCCAGGTGCTGTTTTGAGTGCAAACAAAAGGGAGGCAGCAGACAAGGTTTGTCCCAAATGAACTGTCCATGCTCATTGCCTCAAGGGAGCTCAGGGGGAGAAAAGAAATTGGTGTGAGCAACACTATTAGGAGGTGTCCAAAAAAAAAAAATCTTTACTGTATTACGTTTAGTTTGTTGGTCTATAAGAGACGCATTGAGTTTGTAAGCCAGGGTTTATTTGGACTAATGTCTCTGGGGATCAATTTAACCTTGTCCCCAGTTTTTCATCTCCAGGGTTGTAATGAAATTGCACAGGACCCATCAGGGTCCAACCTTTCAAGCCCTTGATTATAAGTGACTGACCTAGCCTCTCAAATAAGATTACACCGCTTAATGGTGCATTACATAAGACAAACAGATTTGGGACTAGGTGTGTATTCACTGGCCCACACACAGATCTCCAAAAAAGTGGATTGTCATGCTTTTCTCAGAATAATCATCAAATTCTTATTGTACAGTGCAGCTACAGTAGTGTAAGTGATTTTAAGGATGGTAAAGAGTCCTTGAAGGAAAGGTCCCCCAGACCTCTTATCCTGGATTTCTCTTGCTTATTTTGTCACCTTGGCATCATTCAGGACAAGAAGATGATGGAATAGACTTATTGGTAACAAGTAAAGCACAGATTCTTCAAAATGTAAAGAGATTAAGACAGTTAAAAACTGTGAGAAAAAGAAGGAAAGAGATAAATACGGACAAAGGGAGAAGGTCAGATTTACTTTGTGAGAAGATAATAAATCTAATAGAATTACAGGGTGTCTGGTGGCTTATGCTGTCTTGCTTTGTGGTGACTGAGTGTTTGAGACCAGCAGAAGTCACCTCCACTGAGGCCCAGACTCATACAAGCTGCTTATGCGGTTTACATCAAATCAGAGCCCATTACTGAAACTGACAGTACTCTTTAGCAAGAATAATGTGCCATTATTGGAATGATTATTGGCTGAATGTACCTACTGTTTTGGTCATTATAAAAATGCTTTGGATGCATCGATGGATGTGATTATTGTCACATTTATACCTAAAGTTGATTAATGATTGGTCCATGTGATTTCAAAATGGGTCCTTTTAAATGCCTCATGCTATCTTGCCTGCTTGGGAAAACATACATTGGTACTTTATTTACATTTATATAATGGCAATGTATGTATGTATGTATTTATTCATTTATTTACTCTTTGTTAATGCTCAAAAATTACTGACCTGTCCTATCTTAAGTGTTTCCATGCGCCATTCTATGAGGACAAGATTTTGTAAGTAGAAGCCCTCTGTGCTTAGATTGCATATGTAATTTTTAAATCAAATTTTACTTAAATTATACAAAAATACACTACGCTGTCTAGGTTCTGATTTGTCTTTTTTTAGTTTTTAATTACAGTACTGCATAATTTTAAAGTTCCCTTAAACACAAATGCCAGGCACAAAGTCACACTTCACACTTCCACCTAGTGTTAATTTTGTCAGCTATTTTCATTTTAGTCTTAGTCCCGGGCTAAAATGTCCTTGTTAGTTTTTTATCATATTTAGTCAACCTTATCCTATTTAGTTTTAGTCAAGTTTTAGTCGACTAAAAGTCTCAACATTTTAGTCTAGTTTTAGTCCAAGAAAACCTGAAGTATTTTAGTCTAGTTTTAGTCAATGAAAACGTGACATTTTAGCAATAAGATTATTATTAATTAACCGTACAGCAGCATTAATTTTGGCAGCCATTTTTAATTTAGTCTTAGTCTTACTCAAATGTACATTTTAGTTATCATATTTAGACAAAATTCGTAAAAAAATGTTTATTCAATGAAATGTATGAGCATTTTAGTCAGGTTTTTTAGTCAATGAAATATTAGTCACATTTTCGTCATTCTGTATAATGGTTAAACTGATCAAATAAAAAAAATTCTCAAAATTATAATCGTAATGAATTGTCATTTGAGAAATTTACTTTTGCATTTCAGGTATTGCACTTTCTCCGTAAGCACAAATCAATAGAATGTGGACACATACATTGTGTATTTTACCTCATCTAGTATACTGATTTATTATAGGCTTTTTATTTATAAATCAACACCAAAGACTTATGCAATCTCTCTGTTTACATTATGAAAACAGCTAAAACAAACGAAAAATGTTATAACAGTGAAATTCCTAGTAATTCCACTAATTCTATAATTGCAATAGTCTATTTCTCTATTAAAACAACAGCGATTGAGTAAGTGTATTAATTCAGCGATCACAATCGTTGTCATTTGAGAAATTTACTTTTG